GCGCGGGTATATTGTACGCGTAGCCGTCCGTCAGCGGGGGCACGCGGAGCGGTATCGCGTATGATATATATATACATGTATAGTAATAATAACGTAGCTACGCTCGGCTCATATTATTATCGTCGCTGTTATTATTATCGTACACGCAGCCAAACACGCCCGTAAATACTGTTACCTTCTTCTGGCGCGCGGCCACGATATACCGCGCGTACGCGCGCAACAGACGTAATGCCCGCGCGTCATTATATCGGCGGCGGCGGCGGGCAGCGTGTGCGGCGGCCCGGCGGTCTTCGGCCGGTCGGTTTCCTATTATCGCGCGGTCCCGCCGCCGTTCCGCCCGTTACGCGTTACTACCATCGTCGGCGTGATACAGCCACTAATATTCATTCCGCGCGCGCGGTCGTCCCGTCGCAATTTAGAAGAAAAAAAAAAAAACCCCCCATGCCTATACGCGCCGATATTGTTGTAACACCATTTTAGACGTCCCGCGCGTAAAAACCGCCGACGGCCGGCCGGCCGCCGTTCCGTATACGGGCCGGCATCTCGAGAACAGGACGGATATTGTCGCGGCGGAGGAGATCCGTCACCGCCGCCGCCGCCGCCGCTATACCGTGCGTTGTGTCGTGCGGGTAACGTACGACACGCGAGCCGATAAATCGTAGTGCCGTCGCCGCGCGCGCAACGGCAACGACGACGTACGAGCGGGTATCGGATGCGCGCGGCCGGTACCGGCCGGCTCGAGCTTTCGACGGCCGAAACCCGGCGGAGACGCTGCGCGCGAGAACCGTACGCGGGCGCCCCGCGGGCTGAAGGAGGCCGAGCGCGCTCGTGCCGGGCCCCGAACGATACGCCACCAAAGCGCGACGAACGGACGGACGTTCAAATAACGTTATTGTTGTCGCCGAATAATCAGACCGGCGCCCACTACCGCTCGCCGGAATAAAGCGGCGACACCGTACAGCGTATTAATAATACCGCGGTGCAATCGGTGGCGTCAAACTACCGCTCGTTCTGTGATGGCCGAGGCGAAATATCGTGTCAACGTCCTATAAAGGCCGAACCGACAAGCTAAATAAACAAAACGGGGTTATTCAAAAAAGACACTCACCAGTCCGATGTTGCCCTGGTCCAGGCCGCTCGTCTGTTGTCGGCCCGAGGCGTTCGCCCGCCTTGCCCATCCGGTATTTACGCCACTGGGCGGAATGCCGATGAACAGGGTTCATTATTGAAAATCGCCGCTTAATATAGACAAACGGACATTTCGAGACCTGAAATACGGTTCTCGCTGTACGCATTTTTTTCAAATAATTATGATAATATTCAATACGAAATTTCGTAAATAAAAAATAAAAAAATTGATTAAGATGGGAACGGAGTAGGTTTCTCAAATGTTGACATACTGTGTGAAATGTTAAAATTAGTTCTTATGACCGATTTAATCTATCAGTTTTTCTACTGCCAGATAAGATCTTTTCCTAAGAGAAGTTTTATGGACGAAAAATTATGTTTTAGACCAATAAGCGGCGGAAACGAGCCCGCAGCAAACAGCGCACGCGTACGGGCGTTTTCGAAACGCCGTCGGCGTCAATCGTTCACGTCCGCCCGTGGAAAAACGCAGCGTTCGTGTCGCCGCGCGTTCTCGCGGACCAACAATATCGAATCGTGCCCGTCGGTTATCGCACCGTGTTCGCTGGGCGCATGCGGAACGCACGGGCGAGCGGATCTCACGCGGTCGGAAATCGGCCGCGTGCGCGTCGTAGAAAAAAAAAAAAATCATCTTCGCGCGCGCGGTCCCGCGGATCCGGAGCTACCGCGTTCGCGTCGTTCCGGTTTCTGAATAACCACTCGCGGACCACCCCCCGTTCCCGTTGTTTCCGCGCGGTTTTCGTCGGTATCGTTTGTCGACACCGCCCGGCTCCGGTCGCCGCCGCCGCCGACGCGACAGCCGCGCTGCATACTGTAAACGTCTATTATTACGATGTCACCGCGCGGTCCGGCGGCGGCGTGGTCGACGCGAATAACGAACGGCTACGATGCGACGTTACGACGGCCCGGTTTAAAGGAATTTAAAGGGCCTTGGGCGCCGCTGCCCGATTCGGGACCCTGTGCGAATCAAAAAAGAAAGCGGTAAAAATCGAAAACGAAAACGGAACGTATATTTAAACGGCGGACTATATCAAAATCACCTTAAATTATATCGGATTAATGTCAAGCGATCGATTGCCGGTAACGGTAGGGAATTTATTCAGTTTTCCTTTTATTTAAAGACAAAACGTGTTCGAGTTATATCTACCAAACATATGAAGTAGGCATACCATAATAATATAAAGAAGCGAACTATTTATTTTTTTTTTTCTATAGAGTGGGAAGGGACCCTCGGATCTGGGGGCCGTGCACGCGCGTAAATCAGGGCCCGTGTGAATGTACCGTTCGCGCAGTCGTGCAAAAAGTTACCGAGTGATTTTCGAGAATTTAAATTCTTCAAATTCGAACGAGAACCGTATCGGTTTTACTTATGGCCAGTGGCGGTTTGTTTTTTTTTTTTTTTTGTGTGTTTTTTTTAACGACTTTCCTGTACCGGAAATCTCGTTCCGAGCGAAAACTCTATCGGTAAACTTTTTTGTAACATTTTTTTTTTTTTTTTTGTTATTTAGTCGGTACATTAGTGGGAGACCGTACTTAGATTACGCTTGTAGTGTCCTTAATAAGCGGAGGAAAAAACCGGGCGATTTCGTCGTATATAATCTTTGTCCATTTCTGGATTTCTGTATAGGCAACCACGACTAATATAACACTGCTCGGAATCGTTCTCCCTCGACAACGGTTTATCGTTGATCGTTGATATGCGTTGAATTACTCTATAAATCGTTGCTTCCGACTTTCCCGATAAATCAATGGCACACGCAACAGCGTTTTAAAATTCAATTTTTACTATACAAATTCGACACTTAGACAAAATAAGGCATTTAAACTTATTTTTGAATTTCGTCACTTTTCGTCATTACGACGATATTTATAGGGACAGGATTCTGATGAAACGTAATTTTTTTTTTTTCTTGGATTTTCGGTGTTTTAAAACGTATACAAAGTTCGGTAAGTGAAAAATGTGATTAAGAATTTACTGTTTATTTCAATATGTATTTTTCGATAAATTTAACTTTTTGCGTTTCGAGTTGTTGAGCATTGATTGTCGCTATATTAACCACCAGGATATTATATAACAGTAATCGAATGCGTGTTAGGAAATGTCTTCTTTCGTTTTTTTTTTTTTTTTTTTTTACATTTTAAACGCATTAATTTCATTTAATGGTTATTTAGAGAGTTGTGAGTAATTTCGCATTTTTATTTTTTCAGGACATTGCGTTTATTGGTCAGCCGCAACAATTCGTCGGAGTACAACAGACGAATTCACGTTATATAACGTACGCGGTGCGTGTATATTATGGAGAAACAGTATACAATATTATCGTCTGGCGAAAACGTCCGAAAACCCGTAATATATACACCAGTTACAATATATTATTATGATTGTCGCTAATTTCGTCAGATTTGTTTTCTGTCGGTCGCAGCAGTAGGTTAAATATTAATATACGCGTCTAGAATTACCGCAGAAGGTCGCGATCTTAGAAACTGCTCACGGACGACTAACGATGATGTTAGATGTATGCGTATACAGAAACCTACGCGTTATGAAGATTCACTAACCGTTTTCAAAATAGTCGTCGAACAAGTATATAATGTAATATATTGTAATACGGTGTTTCGCGCGAATCCGCTCGAGGAATTCATAGACGCGTCTGGAGAAACGCCAATGATATCGAGCGTGACACGAACCGAGTGTACCCGAAAAATCCGGATTTCAAATATCAATATCTGACAATGCGAACAATCTTTTTTCGCAGGTTTTCGCCGTGTTAACGCACAACAGTGAACGATGATTGGTTTTGGTTTCGGTCGTACGGTCGAGTTGGACAAAGAAGCCGATTTTACGATGCATTCATGATTCTTATGTTGGCTACATTACCACACATTGGACGTTTCTGTACACGCCACCGCGTATATAGGTGTCGCGCTGTATGTTATAACATGCGTAATATTACCGGGCGTATTCAGCGCCGCAGTCGCTGCTCGGAGCTAAGTAAGCAAAAAAAAAAAAAAAAAACTCGTGCGTTGACCGTAGTATTTTACGCGAACGGCCAATTTCCTATTTAACCTGTGTAACTCTGTGTCAAATGGTCCGACCACTCTGTAACGCAAACTAATGGACTGATTGTTTTTAAACTCGCACGGGTTCATCGGTATGTTATGTGGATGGTACTTTTGTCAATTTCAAGTTGATCGGATGATAACAGCCCGAGTAACATGCAAAATTATTAGCACGGTTTTTACTCGAGACGCTATTCTTTTCAACAATTCAACAATGTAACATTATGTTGGACGCGTTCTTCTCGTCGCCGCCTGTTTGCGACGGTGGCCGTTTGCGGCGAATAAAAAAACAAATTTGTTTAATCGATTTATCGCTGTACTATTGTAGTATCGTTTGAAAAAAAAAAATGAGTGATATCCCGACAAAAACTCTCCGTCAACTACACGTAAAAACCTCGCTAAGAAAAAAAAAAACAACTCGAGTTAGATAAGTAACGATATCAAAAAAGAGGCTAAGTAATTTCTTAAATCCAATAGTATAGAAATTGTTTATAGCTGTTTGTATTTGAAAAAGTGCGATAATTGCGTGCAAATAATTGAACTTTGCTCGGCGGCTACTCGTAGTAGTTTTGCGCGCCCGGGGACATTATCGGCGTCGGATCTCTCGCCGCGTCGACTCGATAGCGGGACGGCGATTGCCAGTGGCTGCCGCGCGAGTGCACGGCCCGCACTCCGCTCGCGGTTGCGCGGTGACGGGGCGCGGGAAATCCGGCGGCGGCGGTGGCGGCCACGGCGGTTGTAATGCGCGCGCTCCGCCGTACGGCGACACGATAATTTAATATACGAGGATTACTATGCGCGGGTGCGTATGGCGAAACGCCGTCGTCGTCGTCGTCGTCGTCGGCGAAGGGTACGCGCGGGCGGGCGGATACCCGGAGAAACGGCGGCCGCTGGAAACTGAACAAAATCTCCGCCGCTCCTGCTGTTTGCGCGCCAGAATCCACGGCGATACTCCCACGCCCGCCTCACGACCACCGTTATTATGTCGACGCGCGTACGTCAACGTCAACCGCGACCGCGGCCCGGCGTCCGTCTCCAGCGCGCCCGCCCGCCCGCTCCCGGAGATGATATCGCGCCGGCACGGGACCGTACTGACCTCAGCCGCGCGCGGAAACGCGTACCGTGATGTTCTCCCGTGCGCGCGGGTACCGGCCGCGACCCGAGACCGCGGCGGCGGCGGCGACGACGACGACCAAAACCGGTCGACCGGATCGGTATTGGACGGGCCGTCGTCGTCCCGCGCGCATTCGCGTGTATCGGCCGGGTCGCCAACATGGAATACGCGATCGTCTCTCCCAGGCTTTCACCGCCGCCCGTTTCGCTACCGCGGAATAATATTATCATAATACGCGCGATAATAACTGTGTAGAAACGAGAAAAAAAAAAAAATGATCGGTTACTGTGTGGGGCACGGACGTCGTGGGCGGAACGTCGGAGATACGTATATAGGATACCGCGTGTTATCACATTGTAGCGATGCGATCAAAATCCGGAATGTCCGAAAATCCGGACCTCAAGTTCCGGAAATTGTCTATGGTTTAATAGGAAGCCGTTTGTACGTTTTCCCGACGAGTTTTCGTAATTATCGGAGAAACACGTATAGGAATTAGCGAACAAATACGTAATTGCGGCCTAACGATTTCACGGTTTTTCGAATCATCGTAAGTTTTATGTTTTCTTACGAGAAATCGTGCTTCGAACCGAAAATTAAAAGTGACCCCTATTGTTCTGTTTAATATCTTTATGTAGCTTCTGAGAGAAAAAGTCATTTTTCGATATCCAAAGTAACTATACTTAAAATATGATCATTGTAAAAGAAATATTACAAACAATATCGATGGTTCACACATCGTACTACAATGTCGATGCTTTTGGATTTTCGAACTTGTGCAGATCCGGATTTTTCCCATCACTGTCACAAAGTTATTTCATTTATATTATATCCGTACGCGACGATAAACCGTTGTCAACGATGAACGATTCTGGATCGAGTTCGGCTGAACATATATTATGTTTCGATCGCTTTGCCGCGTCTAGAAAAAAACCGATACGAGTATTCTGAGAACATTTCAGCTCTCTGTAGCGATCCGTTCGAATCGATTTAGGAGAAAAAAATAATCGATTTTATGAAGCCATTTGTGCCGTAATCTTTCCCGTTCTTCCTAGGGTTTTCACAATTGTTCAGAAAACTACACGATAAGTAAATAAAAATAAAACATTTTCTTGAACGCCAGTGAACGCAATTTCCTTCCAGAAAAAATCATGCCACATTTGAAATTTAGACTAAAATCTATCCGATATAAAACGAATTCCGTAAAGAATTAAAATAATGAAATCTTTAACGCGCCGTAAATGTTTTCGTTTCTTTTTTTCACGTATTTTTCCGGTTGTTCCGATTGACATGAAAATCGCTTGAAAATCAAAAAAAATGACATCAAAAATCTACTTATAGTAAAGCTTCGAATCAAAAAATAAGACGAAGAACCGTGAGAAATTGTTTCTAAAGATGTATTTCCATATGGGTTGTGTAACTCTGCTTAGTCATTTTTTTTAATAAATCAAAAATGTCGGGTTTTTTTTCCCGAATAACAAACAAATTTATCGGTGGTATTATATTAGATTGTTTTCAAATTTAATGGCATATTTCGATTGTTTTTAACGCGTCGAGTCACGCGAATCCTACGGAATTTACGCTTTCGGGGTTGTGCACTGTATTAGGTCGTATGTGTACGGGCATTATCGCAGACGACCAAACAATAATCGTACATAATGTTAGACAACATTTTTGTCGTCAGCGCCCTATTATACAAAACTTTCACCGTCCCGAACCTATATATTATTATCCATTTAACGGAGTCATTGTCGTTCAGACAAAAGCAATGGAGATTTTTCATTCAGCGTATATTATACGTCCGAAATTTAACGAGCAGTGCATTTGGTACCGTTCGAAGACTGCGAAAAAAAAAACAACAGCGATTATAAACTATAATCGTGACGGTTCACAATTTATTTGAAGAGCTTATGCAAACTCTCTTCGGCCAATTTGAGCGTACTACCCACTAAAACTTCGTGAGTAGATTTTTTTTTTTTTATGTGAACAACTTTTGCTTCAGTAAAAAACTTTATTGGAACTTTCATGTAACACTTTTTTTTTTCTTTTTTGATGGTGCGTTGAAAAGTTATTTGTTCGGGGTTTTATTGTAATTTTCTTAATCGCAGTTTTTAGGAATTTATTATTATCACTTACGAGGTTTTACCGGGTATTCGGCGATACGCAATTGGCACGTGTAACAACGGAGACGCGTCATTATGTCTCCCGTCTTTAGCATTCGGTATCTGCCTCGTATACACTTCCATATGACGACATCGAAACCGATGGTTTTTTTTCAAAACGGGTGCCTTTTGAGAGTCGCGCGAGTTTACGGTATTTATACATAATATATGGTTATTGTATACGATTATTGTGATAAAGTTGATATAATATTATTAGTTCTTTGTAGATTTTTCGAAATATTTATTGTACAGGAGCGCACTGAAAACGAGAATTCACTGTTTTAGAAAACGTTTGATCCAAAATGTCCGGGTCCAGTCAAGGCTTTTGCCGGCGAAGAATTTCGGGAGTGTGCGTGGGGTCCATCAATTTGTTTTCAATAAGTTCAATTTTTTAGCATTTGTCTAAACACTATCTATTTATTTATAAATGATGGTCGTGTGATCTAGACCTCTAGAAACAGATACGGGGATAGTTAACGTCTGCATAATGTTCGGATAGTAATAACAACTACTGTTTTCCATTAACTAGGCATCGAAACATTAGTATTCTGATATCCGCGTATACCTATTGGTCTATCGTTATTGTTATTGTTCTAAAATCGTGTTGAATCGGACGGAGATTACTATTCGTTCTGCTGTACATTTTTTGAAATGCTTAAGAAATAATATGAACATACACGTACGGCGTATAAATAATCCACCATTTTAGGTCCTATTGAGGCACACCGTATAGAAAATAATAGTTCAGTGGGCCAGCCCGTCGTGGTGTTTAAACGGCAATGCTGTTGGCGAGTTGAATTCATAAAACAAATTTTATCCGAATTGATTACCGTCGGGCCTCGTCGAGATGTGGTGATAATGATCTGTTATTATAATAGCCGTATGCCCATCGTACACGACGGGTTTTAACGATCATTGAACATTTTCAAAATTGCTTTTGTTTAATCGAAATGCTGAAACCCTTTACGTAAAACTCCTTTTTACACGAAAACCAAACGTTTTAACCAGTTTTATTTCGTTATTAACATTGAAATAGTCATTATTACGTACAAGAACTAAACACTGATTCATAGATAGACTGAATAATAAATAAAATCAAATGAATAGAGCAGTGGTTCCCAAATAGTATGAAGCCACGAACCCCAATCTAAAACTTTAAATGGTCCAGGGACGTTTTATTTGTGAATACTTACTTTTCAATTTTCATTAATTATTAAAATGAAAAGAAAATTGTGTATGATTTATTTTACAGTAGTACTACAGTACTACACAATCGCGGGTTCCCTAACATCAATACGCGGACCCCTGGGGGTCCTCGGACCACCAATCGGGAATCACCGGAATAGAGAACAACTGACAATAATTTATTGCGCGTCAATCGAAATCATCTGATAAAAGTTGACTGCAACGACCAATACATTCATTGCATTTACAGTTTAGAAAACTCAGTGCACTATGACATAAAATTGCATTGCAGTCGTAATTATTACAAAGAATAAATTGCAAATATGTAGGACTTGGGTACATTTACAATTGTTTGGCTAAGAGCAAGTCATGCCTGCATGTGTAGTTGTATTCGTCTTCCTAACGTATACGATGCAGTAAAATTACGTTACTCAGAACATAAATTGTGGCATTTAGATTGCAATTGGAGTTCAAACACAAGAAACAAAATACACAGGATTAATGCTATTTTAAAAAAAAGGCAAAAATTAACACGGCTGTAACTTTTTGGTATTACAATTTTTTTGTTTCGGAAAAGAAGCTACGTACAACCCTCGGAAACATTCTCGTCTTTAAATTTCGTTGTTTGTGTCGACATGGGCGGATAGGCTTACCGGGAAGCCGTGAATTTTTCAACCGGCCCCCCTTGGATTGCTCTTGGTAGTAATGGGCACAACTGAATGGAAACTATCCAACTATTGGTTTATCCATAATGGATCCAGATATGTTAATCTATGTAGAAGGCCGATTCCAAAAAAAAAGGTCATCAGTATTTGTTTCATGTTTAGGGAACTTTTCCTATCCGCCTATCCGCCCGTGTGCTGTACACTCCTATTTCAACCGTACCGCCACAATTTACGCTCCGAGTATAAGAGAAAAAGCGTTACGGACGGACGGACGTGGCCTTTTGTAATATAAGAAGTTCGCTGCAGGACGTTATCGGTTCGTTTTCCATCGCAATTTTCTCCTCGTATGCATAATACGGTCGACGAATAATTATTATTTTTGCGGACGGCGGCTGTAAAATACTTAAATAGATACGCGTGACGCAGAAAAAAAGAAATAAAAAAATAATTGACATAATGGAATCGATACGATTCCGCCGTGCCAATATCGTAGTCGAAATACGGTTTTAATAGAAACCTTCATCGTTTGATATACGCTCGTGTGACACGTACATAACGCGATTGTCCATTCGTTATCCAATTATACATTTTTCCGACCGCGACTAATTCGATTAAAAATATCACTTTGTATAATACAATATACGGCTCGTATAAGGTACATAAATATTTAGTCGCGGTACGTTGTAACGTTTTAATTCGAATTAAACAAAATTAAACAGTATAATTTACAGCTGTACGACGAAATTGATTTCCAACGATAAAATGGACATCTGTGTCACAATTGACAAAATTATTACACTGCGACCGGAATTTAATATTGTGTTTGCCACGCGTGTTATTTAGAAAGAGTAACTCGTTTTTTTTTTTTTTTTTATGATATATCGATATTTTTATAATTGTAATAATAATATAGCGATATAACGTAACGGGAATCGACAAAACCACAGATTAGAGATAGTGATAAATGATACAATACGCGATAAATGAATCACCATCATATCCGTTTATCACGAACCAACGGTTTTCTCTTAGGATTTTAATGAATTTGATTTCTGTTCATTTTTTTCAATCGTTTAAAATTTGTTTTAATATTATTGCCAATTCTAACCCTTATCCCTTATACCTTAAACGGAGTGTACACTTTAGATTTTCAACTATCTGCAGTCATTTTGTTAAACACAGACTCGATTAGAGAACAAATAATAACACTTTTGGTATGCACA